ATATAAAAAACATACTATAATATAAGTTATAACAATATAATAGTTCAAAATATTTAGCAATTATACAAAAAAAAATTGTTTAATTGTTAAATCCGAACATCATCAATGGAACGAAAAAATAACTTTTTTTTCTAATTTATTGAGTGATTCTAATTTTTTATAGAATAATTATTAGAAACAAATGGGTATAATAATTATTTTGATGGATTGGGGTGAAAAGCTTGAGGGATATTAATATTTTAAGGTTTGGAAATATTTTTTAACTCTTTAAAAAACGTGGAAATAAAAAAATGACTTTTATCAGAATAAAAAAGAAAACAAATCACGTTATCAACGGAACAAATCCAGCAGGGTCATATATATTTTATATATAAATAAATAACTAGGAAGTTAAGATGGCTTCGGGAAATGGATTATTATTTCATGATATACAAGGTTTAATACCCAAGATTTGAAGGTGGTGAAACGTAGCGACAGAATCAGAATTTCGATTATGAAGGGTTAAAAGTAAAAATTAGGCAAATGACATAGTATAAGAAAGAAATTACTTCATTTCCCTACTCTTTCATTAATTACCAAAAATCCCTTTTTTTAGTGTTTTTCAGATACATAATATAGCAGTGTGGATACTTAATATAGCAGCGCAGATACTTTAATTAATAACGGGTGGATACTTAAATTATTAAGTTGTTAGCAGCACGGATACTTAATTAACGGGCGGATGCATAATATAGCAGCGCGGATACTTTAATTAATAATGGACGGATACTAAAATTATTAAGTTGTTAGCAGCACAGATACTTAATTAACGGGCAGATGCATAATATAGTAGCGCGGATACTTTAATTAATAACAGGCGGATACTTCTAATAAAGTATCCGATTAAGTTGAATTGGGGGAAAATAAGGGGTTTTTGTATTTTAGTAAAAGAGTAGGGAAATATTGAAAATAGGTAAAGAAGTGTTGTGTATTTAAGTAATTTTTCCTTAAAATATAAAGTTGAGAAGTGTCAATATGTAATATTCTTCATGTCTTAATTTATGTGACACTTTTTTTCGAGAATCAAATAGTTTAAGTTTGATCGAAATTTTGTGCATGGAATCTTCAAGATATTTGAAATTTATTTATTTATTTATAAACTATGTGAAAAGTACTATAATTCACAATAATTGTAATTGAAAAATATTCACAATAATTGATAATTCAAAATAGTTAAAAGATATATGAAAAATTTTATGATCAAAGATAGATTTATTTGAATTTCAAAATGTGAAAAGGGTCACATAAATTGGGACGAAGAAAGTGTATATATATATATAAATATATAACTTTTCTTTAAGGTTAACGATTGAGTACACGTGCACCCCCAATTTTACACGTGTGCCTTCATCGGAAAATTTTTGCGAGTATATATGATAAATATCGATATTTTCGGACATATACTAATTTTTGAACAACCTTGTAATACTAAAGAAAGATAGGGCAATGGTTAAGGCTGTTCAAAGTTGCCTCAAAGGCCCGGACTAAGACGTTTTGTTTATTTCTTTTAAGTTTCATATTTTAAGAGAACAAAAGTGACGTTCCAATTTTTTTTAATCTGACCAGCAAGATTTATTTTTTTACTTGTCCTAAAGTATAAACACTCTTGACGAAAATTCTGGTTCCGCCACTGATGACAACCCTTAAACTTTCAATGGATGGGTTTGAACACATGACTAAGTGTTCTTATTAATTATATACACCTTTGCTCTTTGATTTTTTTTGGCATGTTCTTAATTAATTACTTGTGACATAGATAAGTTAACCACTTAAAATATACTATTTCTTTTTATTATATATATATAAAGTCTTAATAATAAGCTGTAAATCCCATACATGTTTCAATTGAGGACAATGTATATACTTAAAGAAGATGAAATATTTTAAGTAAGTAACTTATATATGTAATGAACATAGATCGCATAACAATTTTTATAATTTGAGCTAAAAATGTTTAATAGAAAAACTTTATTATATGTACAGATATTCAATTTTATTGAGCCAACCATTAGCCAGACTGTCAAAATGAAGTTTATCAACAAATTTTAAAAAGTATTTATGTATTGGGAAAATGCATAAGTACCCCCCCAGCCTATGCCCGAAATCCCAGAGACACACCTAACCTTTATTAAGGTCCTATTACCCCCCCGAACTTATTTTTTTATTAATTTTTTACCACTTTTTGACCTACGTGGCTGAGTCCGTGACTTCACCTATGTTAGGCGCGTGGGTGCAATTTTTAGACAACACTGACCAATAAAAATTGGCCACGTGTTAAAATAAACTTTATTGTTGTTTATTGTTCTTCATCTTTAACTAAGTTTTCTTCTTCTTTATTGTTCTTCATCTTTAACTAAGTTTTCTTCTTCTTTATTGTTCTTCATCTTTAGAAAAAAAAACCTCCATTATCATTATCATTCAAGTTAAATTTCTTCTTGCTTCGAAAAGGTAAAGTAAAATTTTAATATATTCTTTATATTTACACCTTTTTATTTCGATTGTTAGTTCTGATTTTAAATTTCTTTCACAATTTTTATGTATAAATATTAGGGTTATGACAAAATCCGAGTTGAATAAGTTGTGTATGGATGAGAATGATTCAATGATCAATGCGGAAGTGCGATGCAAGCATGGAATCTTATTGCAAATGCAGACGTCTTGGTTAGATCGCAATCCCGGAAGACGATTTTGGTCTTGTCCTCACTATGAGGCCACGAACTGTAATTTTTTTAGATGGAGAGACAAGGAGAGAGTCGATGAAAGATCTCGGTTTATTCTTCCGAAATTGGTGAATAGGATTAATGAGTTAGAAGAAAAATATGAGCGTGTGAAGATGCAATTGGAACAGCTTGATAATTCCAACATTGAACAGTCAAAACAAGAAAAAATTCCTTTGGATGAAGGTGAAAGTCTTCGAAATCGTTATGAAAATCTCAACATCAATTCAAAGGGGAAGGGTTGTGCTATAAAAGAAATGGGTGATTTGAAAGAGAAGAAAATGAAAGGGATGAAAATGAAGAAAAATGATGAAGGCTGTCGTTGTTTTGGGAAATTTCTTTGTTGTTTGATGATTTGTTTTGTTGTTATATTTGTTAGCTTTCTAACCCAAGTTGGTAGGTTGAAGGATCAAATGAAATTGCCATTATTTTGTGTGGTATTGAAACCTTTATTTGCTCTACAGTAATGAAAATTTGAATTTGTTTGTGTTTGAAAATGTCTTAATTCTCTATTTGCCATGATTTGTTTGTGTTTGAAATTGTAAAATGAAGTAAGTCAAGAGGTATTAATCACAGTACCTATTCTCCCAACAAAGCTACACAGAAATAACACAAAACACATTGCATAAGTACCCAAAATTGCAGTACCTATTCTTGCAAATAAAAATAAAGCTTCACATAAATAAGACAAGTCACATTGCATAAGTGCCTAGAATTTCATTACTTAAGAGCAAATTTTCAGTACAAAATTGATTCTAAAAGTGAACTTAAAAGCAAAATAAAATTTTCACATTGCATAAGTACCCATAATTTTAGTACTATTTCATACATACATATAACAAAAAAAAGGAAATAGTTGTTTTTCCTTCAAACATGAAACAAAATAGCACTTATAGTTGCCACCAAAACAGTACTAAGAAAACACCATTGCTATCAACATTATAGTTTCCATGGGTCTCGAGGCTGTGAAGAGGAGGAATCATTTGGGTTTGAAAGCCTTGATTGATCTCTAATATGTTGGAGCATTCTAGTTGTGATTGCTTGATTTCCTTTCCACTTCAATCCACTTGTTGGTTTGAAACCAACATCCCCAGTTACAACATTTGATCTCAAAACTCTTTTTGGTCCAGCTAATATTTTGCTACTTGGCAGTCCAGGCTATAAAATTTTTAGAGAAGTAAGGTATTAGAGAACAGATGTTATTAAGTCATTAGGGTACAAACATTATGAATGCATCACAATACTTACATTGAAAGTTTTGAGACCATTTTCAGCTTGAAACACACCCATTCCAGTTACTCTTGGCCTTTTAAATTGAGTTGTGTTTCCAACACCCTTTCCTTTCCTGGCAGTAGCAGTTTCCTTTGGTGCAACATTTGTATTCTGGTCTACACCCTGTGTTGTACTACCTTGAGAACATGTAAACCAACTTTCAAGTGGATGATTAATACCTCTTGCTGCACTTCCCAGTCCCCTGCCCCTTCCTTTACCACTCCAGGCTCTTGATGATACTCCAGCACCACTTACACTTGCACTTGCTTCATGTGTTGGTGTTCTTGAAGTTGTTGGAGGTGCAGTGGTTCTAGGTGAAGCCCTTGATGCACTTGCACTTGCACTTGCTTCATGTCTTGGTGTTCTTGAAGTTGTTGGAGGTGCAGTGGTTCTAGGTGAAGCCCTTGATGCACTTGCACTTGCACTTGCTTCATGTCTTGGTGTTCTTGAAGTTGTTGGAGGTGCAGTGGTTCTAGGTGCAACCTTTGATGCACTTGCACTTGCACTTGCACTTGCACTTGCACATGCACTTGCACTTGCACATGCACTTGCACTTGCACTTGCACTTTTAGGTCTGCCTCTCCCCCTTTTTGCAACAGGCTCACTCTCAATATTTGTTGATTTCTAATTTGCAAAAAAACATTTATTATATTAGTAAATTGATTAAACTTTAAAAGTAAGTGACAAAATAGTAATGTACCTTTGGTCTTCCCCTTCCCCTTCCCTTTCTTGAGCTTGATGGTTCTTCAACATTTGAAGTAGGGGTAGCTCTATGTTCCTCGGCAATAGAACCAACTCCATCACTCCTTCGTAAATGACAACTTCTTTTGTTGTGACCTTTAACATGGCAAAGACTACATGTCATAGTTAGTCCAGTTTTAGACAGCTTACCAGACACCTTAGTTTCACCAGCCTCTTTCCTTCTCAGCTTTCTAGGCCTACCTGGCATTTTTTTAATCACTAGTGGAGCAACTAGAGGATTTCTTGATTCTGGCCACATTGGCATGTTATTCATAGGTTGTATGAAATGTGAGTAAGCCATCAAATACCTCTCTTTAGAGTAGCATGGATGAATGAAATCATGTGGATCATATTGTCTATGCAACATTGCAGCTAAGGCGTGTGCACATGGTATTCCCTTCAACATCCAAGATCTACAACTACACTCCCTCTTTCTCAAACATACAGTGTGTTGTTTGTATCCATCTAAAACCTCATATCCAGTTACTCCATTAAACTCAATGTTACATGCCATTGACTTATCAATATTTTCTTCTAATACTTTCATTGCCATTGGAGAGAAGTTGGTTATCCAAGAGTTTGGAAATTCACTTAACCTAGCTAACCTAGTCATGACCTTAATCCTTATCTCTTCAAGCATACTAATAATGGTTTTATGCCTTGCAGACAAAATCCAAGCATTAAAGCTCTCACACATATTATTATCTATTGTATCAGACTTAACTTCACAATTAAAATACACTTTGCACCAATATTCTTTATCATAGTAAATTAGATCATCCACTATACCCGTACCTAGTTTAGACAGCTCTTCCAGATTTTGTCTGAATTCAGCTTCAAAAGTACTTCTAGCACACTTCCAGAACAGTTTCTTCCTTTGCAGCCCTTTCCAATTCTGTGACCAATTTGCTAGTATATGCCTAGCACACCTTCTTTCCTCACAAGCTGGCAACAACTTCTTAATAGCTAAATCCAGTCCCTACAAGTTACAACAAACATTAAATAATAAAGTTGAAAAAATAGTAAACCAACAGAGAAATAAAAACAAGTTTACCTTTTGCATGTCTGACATAATGGTGAAATTTGTTCCATCTCCTAATCCCAAATCTTCTTGCAACAGAGAAATAAACCAACTCCAACTGTTTGTGTTCTCATTTTCAACTACAGCCCAAGCAAGTGGAAGCATTTGATTATTGCCATATTTGGCCACTGCAATAAGTAATTGACCCCTGCATACCCCCTTCAAGAAACAACCATCCAAACCAATACATTTTCTAGCTGACATGAATGCCATCTTGAGTGCAGCAAAATAGATGTAAAATGCCTCAAATACTACCCTACCATCTTCATTAGCTTCACCAAGTTTCACCACACAAGTACTCCCAGGATTAGACCTTAACAACTCATCCTTATAATCAAGAATTCTCCCAAACTCCTTAACATGATCACCCATAATTTCATTCAAAATTTTAGCTCTTGCTCTTCTAGCTGTGGTCTTACCAACATGCACATTATACTTCTTCCTGATTAACTCTTGCAACTTGAACACTCTGATATTTGGTTGTTCAATCACTTTATCTTTAAAAACACTAGCAATGAATTTAGAGTTGCACAAGTAATTTCTAGAAGCCTTTTGACATAAATGTATTGGCATGTAAGTCTTAATAACAAAGTTGTTAGTCTTCCTGTCCAAACTTGCATATAACAACCATTTGCAATTTACCTTGCAACATCTCACCCTTACTCTAGTTGGCTCATTCACACACTTTTCAATCTGAACCCTTCTCTGAATTGCATACTTAGTGACTGCCAATCTAAACTCTTTTACACTTTAAAAAATCATACCCAATTGCCACACAATCTTCTTACTGTTGGGATCAAATTTGACACTGTCTATGGTATGTTTTTTCCTTTTTGTGTTAGGCAGTTTCAACCTCATTTTTTCACCTTCTTCAAGACAATTATCATCTGTGTCAGTTTCAAAACTACAAGCATCAGAACTTGCATAATATGGTTCATCACCCCCTAGCCTTCCTTCTAAAGTATTTGTATTGATAGCAGTCTCATCAAACCCAAGATCTGCTCCAGCATTACCACATGGTACTTCTTCAGTATCTGCAGGAATTCTCTCCCTTCTTTTCCTCCTCCTCAGAAAGGATCTTTTTTCAGCCATCAGGTGAATAAGCTCCTCATGAACATCACTACAATATTGATCATCTTCAAGTAGTTCACTATCTTCAGAATCATCACTCTCTTCAGTTGACTCATCAGATTCTTTTACAGAGTATTCACTATCTTCAGAATCTGATGGATCAGTATTTGGAGCTGTTGGGTTTGATGTAGAAGGAATATTTGAGGTAGTATTTAGAGATACATCTACCCCATTAAAAGCAGCCTCACCTACTTCATTATATTCAATGTTTTCACTAGCCCTATTTTCAGTGGTCCCAACTTTATTAAAAGTTGCACCAGATTCCTCTTCAGGCATGTGGACATATACTTCCAAAACAGCCCCATTTTGCAAACAATTACACATTGCTAAGAGAATATCATCATTGTCAATATCTCCTAAGATGCAACTATTAGGTGGCCGGATACTAAATTTGCAATTTAGGCTATACCCTAGTTCTTTAATGTAGTCTTTAATCTCAAAATATGATATTGTATCCACATCAACATCAACATATTCACTCACTAATCCACCCACATATCTTGCTTCCTCACCTTCATACAATAAGGCCCCACCATGATACAACTTTAAAGTAATGAATGTAAATCCACTCATACCTATATGCATAAACATTAACAATAATTAAGTACACGTTACTAATAAACTACAATAATTGATTAAAGAAACACACACACACCCCCAAACAAATATAAAAACAATTCAAGTTAAAGCCAGTAGTTATTGGATTTTTTTAATGTAACTATAACCCCACACATACCCCACAGACACTACACAAGACCCACTGTAACCCCACAATACAACACAACACAACACCCAACTCGTCTTTGTCTTCTTGTATGTTAAAAAGAGAACAGAACTCAAACAAATATAACCAACCCACACTGAAAAATACTTTAGAACATACCATAACAACATATGTGACAATATGAATATATGAATAACAAGTTACATACGAAGTTTGATATCTAACAGTACCATAACATAAACCCTAATAAATAAGCATAAAGTTACATTTCACTCAAAGATCGAAACCAATATTTAACAACATATCATGAACCCTACGAAATCTAAGTATAACAACAACAAAAAAACAAAATAAAATCAAGAAAAAACTAACCTTTGAACTCAATCACGATTCTTGATGACTTAGAAGAATGAAATCGACCCACAGATGCACGATTCAAATCGACCCACACATGCACAACTGAAATCGAACACTAAGTACTAAAATCCAACATAGAAAATCAATTATAAGTATGTAAATCGAATTTCTAAAATTAATTTTTTGAAGATAATGCTCTTTCCCTTGTTCCTTTCTTTTCCTTTTTGGTAGAGTTAACTTGAAAGTGATAGTTTTACTTTTGGGAAAGTTGAAAAAGTGATAGCTTTTTTGAATTTTTGGGAAGTGTAAAAGTTATTTAGAACTGATAGCTTATACTTTTTAGAAAGTTGAAAAAGTGGGCCCAGCGCGTGTTGAACAACTCTTTCAGCCTATCTGATTTATATTGCCACGTAGGTCAAAAAGTGGTAAAAAATTAATAAAAAAATAAGTTCGGGGGGGTAATAGGACCTTAATAAAGGTTAGGTGTGTCTCTGGGATTTCGGGAATAGGCTGGGGGGTACTTATGCATTTTCCCTTATGTATTTATAACTCACAATAATTTGGAGAGAACTTGTGAACAAAAAGGTGGCACGTGTGTACAGTTGTATGGAATTATTTACAAGTATATATCATTTTTAATTAAGTTTGACTAGCCCCATTTATTATCTAAATAGAAATATTGGTGCAAGTACCATGTAATAAAGTATATGTGTGACCTTATAATTTTTCCCAAATATTTTATGATCTTGGACGATGTCATTCATATACAATTTTCCCGATTTCAATTTATATGATCGTAGCTTAAATTAATATGAAATGTAAAAAATTAATGGTTACTATTTGTTTTTTTTTCTTCTCCAAGTTGGTCACATGACATTATACATATTAGTCTTTATAATAGCATATATAACAACAAATTAGAATCTTAGGGTCGTAAGTGAAAAATGATTACGACAATTTTCATGCATGCTGATCATGGAGTCAATATCTTGTTGATGACTCTAGGTTTTCTTTGAGCGGTTGGCGATGGAGCTTCCTTTCCGGTCATGCTAATAGCCATCGCCAAGCTCATGAACATTATTGGTGGTTTGAATACTTCAAATGTCTTTAACTTTAGGCACAACATTAACAACAACAACAACAACAACAACATACCCAGTGAAATCCCACTAGGTGGGGTCTGGGGAGGGTAGAGTGTACGCAGACCTTGCCACTACCTCGTGCAAGGTAGAGAGGCTGTTTCCGAAAGACCCTCAGCTCAGGTACATCAAATCCAAGTAAAAGGCGAGGAAAACAGTGTATATACATACCATCCAATACGAAAGATAGTATACAATCAACAAAGGAAGACAGTAACATCAATAAACAATGATAGAAGTGAAACGCATTAAACAACATAAGGCTATCGATATCACAGACAAGAACTGCAAGTGCACGACTAGGACTACTACACACGCTAACAACCCCTACCCTTGCAAGGAGAGATAACACGCTAGCCCTACTAACCTTCAACCTTAATACGCGACCTCCACTCCTTCCTATCTAGAGTCATGTCTTCGGTAATGTGAAGCTGAGCCAAGTCTTGTCTAATCACCTCTCTCCAATACTTCTTAGGCCTACCTCTACCCCTCCGCGTACCCTCTACAACCAGCCCCTCACACCTCCTCACTAGGGCGTCTGCGCACCGTCTCTTCACATGACCAAACCATCTCAGTCTCGCTTCCCTCAGCTTGTCCACCACAGAGGCCACTCCCACCTTCTCCCGGATAACTTCATTCCTAATCTTATCACTCCTAGTGTGCCCACACATCCATCTCAACATCCTCATCTCCGCAACCTGTATTTTCTGAACATGTGAGTTCTTGACTGGCCAACACTCCGCTCCATACAACAAGGCCGGTCTAACTACCACTCTGTAGAACTTACCTTTAAGTCTAGGTGGAATTTTCTTATCACACAAGACTCCAGAGGCAAGCCTCCATTTCATCCAAGCAACCCCAATGCGATGTGTGACATCATCATCGATGTCGCCACTTCCTTGTATTACAGACCCAAAATACTTAAAACTTTCTTTCTTAGGAATGCTCTGTGTGGCAAGTCTCACTTCTACATCTGCCTCATCCAACGTATCACTGAATTTGCACCCCAAATATTTTGTTTTGGTCCTACTCAACTTAAACCCTTTGGACTCAAGCGTTTGTCTCCACACCTCCAACCTCGCATTAACTCTGTCCCGCGTCTCATCAATCAATACTATGTCATCCGCAAATAACATACACCATGGGACCTCCTCCTGAATAGACCGCGTCAACTCATCCATCACCAAAGTAAATAGAAAAGGGCTAAGGACTGATCCTTGGTGCAACCCCATCTCAACTGGGAAATGTTTCGAGTCACCTCCAACCGTTCTAACCCGAGTCTTGGCTCCACCGTACATGTCCTTTATCGCCCTAATATAAATCATCGGGACACCTTTAGCCTCCAAGCACCTCCAGAGGACATTCCTCGGTACTTTGTCATAGGCTTTTTCAAGGTCAATGAACACCATATGTAGGTCTCTCTTCCTTTCTCTATATTTTTCTACCAGTCTTCGCGTAAGATGAATGGCTTCGGTCGTCGACCGTCCCGGCATGAATCCAAACTGATTCTCAGAAATGGACACCCCTCTTCTCACCCTCATCTCCACCACTCTCTCCCAAATCTTCATAGTATGGCTTAGCAATTTGATACCCCTGTAGTTGTTACAGTTCTGGATATCACCCTTGTTTTTATACAACGGAACCATTGTACTCCACCTCCATTCATCAGGCATCTTTGCTGTCTTAAAAATAACATTAAACAACCCAGTCAACCACTCTACACCTGCCTTGTCCGTGCTCTTCCAAAAATCCACCGGAATCTCATCGGGTCCGGTCGCTCTTCCCCTGCTCATCCTACTAATAGCACGTATAACCTCCTCGCTCCTAAAACACCTGCAGTACCCAAAGTCCCGAAGTCTTTC